ATCCGGTGTTGTACAATTTTTCGCTTTTATGTATTCCATTGATCGCATTTTTATCATTTTTCCATGACCCCTGCATCGTATATTTAACAGTGCTGATGTAAACTTACCCTGGGAAGACATAAACATGGTCACCCTTGTCTGTCAGGTTATTTCTTTAATGACATGGTTGGGGCAGTTATTTGTTACCCAGTGAGGTGTCTGATAAAAGGGCAATGCTAATGCAATAAATGAGTGGTGCGATTGCGATAAATTTGCGATGCTAATGTGATAATTATGCAACATGAATGTGATAAATGTGACACTGTACTGTACTGTACTAGTCTTTTCAATTACAATAAAGTAAAACTTGAAAAGCAAGTTTATTTTACGCAAAGACAATGAGTAATGTACTTTGAATTTCAAAAGGGTAATTTGTCTAAAGAACAGTATCACCACTGACATTACTGACTAAATCCTTGAGCTTTTTTCGAAAATCCTTGAAAATTTTGATTCACATTTTGCAAAACTTTTTTTCGTATTCTTCTAATATTTGTTGTTTTTAAACCAAATTACGAACAAGACTTGACCAAAATAAAAACAAAATATAGAATACATGAAACAAGATTATTTTGCGTAAGATTACAGAAGTTGACTTGGCATTCAAATTTCAAAACTATAGTTTGCTAATAAACATTCTCGCCAGTGACAGTACTTTTAAATTTTTATGAATTGTGGTAATGTAATTGAAAAGTTGGCCCAGGTATCTCATTTGCATCCAATCTTCATTGTTAGCTATTCTACGTGTGACCTCACAAAGTTGCAAAGTAAAATGTCATCATCCTTGAGAAACTTTTCCCCTAATGTCAGACATTAAATTTACACTCACAGATAATTCTTAAAGATTTATTATGGTTTGGGGACTATTACGTGACTTTATTTAGTGGTATGAACATGCGTGAAATGTTGGAGGATTCACCCAGGTTACGTTTGTCTAGTTCCGATTTACTGCAGTCTGTAGTGAACTCTCTTAATCAATGTGATCTACATATCAATTTGTTGCTCATGAACCACTGTGAACATCAATCCAAAACAAGCTGAAAAAATATAAAATATTAAAAGTATATATTAGTTGCGTTCACACACAGCTGTTTAGCACAGGCTAAGAGTTCAAAAACAGTAACCTGTACAGGTTAAATCTGATCCATTTTTAAGACCCAGTTCAGATTGGGCCATTCCAGTTTTTATCTGCACCCCCCTGTTGATGAGCTTGTGTGTTTACTTCATACAGGGTATAATTTCCATGGGTGTATAAGTCATACATAGTTTTATTTCCAAATCACCATTCACCATACGTAATGGAAATCCAAAACTATAGTTCCTACTTATGGTGTTGATGAGTTCCATTGTGCCACCATACAGTAGGATTTCCAAATATAACTCTCATCATATGCTAATTTACCAAGTTCAAAATTTTATATCTGATAATGGAAATCCAAACTAGTCCTGATTCACGGTGTTGATGAGCTCATTGGTGCCACCATCCTTATCTAATTTCAGTAATAACTATTTCATACTGGCCCAATTTTTTTACCATATACAGTCAGAATTCCAAGTTTTTTTAGTCATACTGTTGGAAATCCAACCTCATCAACCGGTATTTGGCGAGATAAACTAGGCCATTTTTTATTTTAGTAGCCATAACTGCCTGGATTTCCAGGAATTTTTTTTTCATACTCGTCTGGATTTCCAGATTCTGTTTCTCCATATACAGTTGGAATTCCGAGGTATTTTCCCCATCATACAGTGCTGGAAATCCGACCACATCAACAGGGGGGTGCAGATATAAACTGGAATGGCCCATTCTTAGCACAGATTAATAAAATGTGCGCGAATGCTTAGCTAACTAACTGGCATATCTTCCTTGTTACTGTACTTAATAATCATAGTTAAAAGAACTGAAGATCAGTATGTTCTTAACAAGTTTGAGGCATTTCTTGCCTCGTTCTAACCAATGTTTCCTCCCGTGCATGAACACAGTTGGGTCTTGTCGATATACATTGTACGAACATATCAGTTTAGCTTAAATCTTAGTCTGTACTTGGTGTAGCCTGTAGAAAACTATTCTTCCTGACCTTTCTACACTCTTTATTTTAAGAGTAATTGAGGGGCTTATCCCTTAGACAAACCAAAGACTATAGAGAAGGTATAGTCTTTAGACAAACATACCTACAATGTATCTGACCTTACAGGACACAACAAAAGCCTCCTAACTGGGCAAGTGTTTTTTGTTTACAAATCTAACTTAAGTGTATTGTCAGCAAAAACTTGGGCATGGTTACAGTTAATTTGTTGTAAATATTTGTTACTGAAAGTTATAAAATATCTGTAAAACATATTCAAATCCAATGAAGTTGATTTGATTGGCTGTAGAAGAATATGCTAATGCCCATTACCCATGAGCTCTTCAGTCATTGGCTGATGAGCTGCTGTGCATTTGTTAAAGATATGATGGTTATGATGTTTTCAAAAATCATTTGAAATTTAAATTTAAGTTTGCAAAAATTTATATTTGATTGAAAAAAGAAAACATTCATGCTTTTATGAATTTCACTGTATTTTGGTATCAAAATTTAATAAATACAAGCTTGGAATATCAATTGGCACAAGTTGTTTTGAAAATAAAAGTTACCTATGTGACCCGACTTGATTATTGATTCCAATGACAGAGTGAAACCTGTATTACAGTGTCCTTGTGTTTTGTATAAACAAAGTCAGTAAATGCAGATCAAAGAATTGACATATGAATTGTACCAAAGCTATTAGTCCCAATTTTCAGACTGAAGCCTCTTAATGGCCTTTATAATTGGGATATACATACCAGCAATGGTGATATGGGGCAGCATTGTAATACTGCACAAAACAAACTCTGGTCATCATGTCAGCTATTCAGATACTCTCTGGTCATCATGTCAGCTATTCAGATACTTGATCATAATTTTTTACTTCAAGGAGACTATGTATTCTCAGTCGAATGCAATCCAGGTTGTAGAGATTTAATAGGGAAGGAACATGATCAGCAAACACCATGTGTAATATCGCAAGAGATTTATTTTGTAAATTTCTTGTTTCGTGTACTATGACAATTGTTGTATATAAATAAATACCAGATGTTCATTATATATACCATATTTTTAGCTCCGCTGTCGACTTTGTCGAGCGGAGCTTATCATATGAGTGATTGTCGTCCGTCGTCGTCGTCCGTGTCAATGTTTTACTTTTTCGACTTCTTCTTGAAAACTACAAGCCTGAATGCTTTGATACTTGGTGTATATGTACCTTGGGTAGATCTCTCTTAGATTTGTTCATTTCATGTTGATATCTTTAATTCTCTAATTTTGGTGACTATTTTTGTCATTTTTGGTAAAAAGTGATATTTTCGACTTCTTGTTAAAAACCGCAAGTGCAAATGCTTTGATATTACATTTATAGGTACTACATGTGGACCTCTCTCAGATTTGTTCATTTTGTGATGATATCTTCAATTCTCTAATTTTGGTGAATATTTTTGTAATTTTTGGTAAAAAGTGATATTGTCGACTTCTTGTTAAAAACCAATAGATCAATTGCTTTAATATTACATATATAGATACTACATGTAGACCTTTCACAGATTTGTTCATTTTGTGATGATATCTTCAGTTCTCTAATTTTGGTGAATATTTTTGTCATTTTTGGTAAAAAGTGATATTTTCGACTTCTTGTTAAAAACTGTAAGTCAGATTGCTTTGATACTATACATATTGTTCATTTTCTAATGATGTCTTCAGTTCTTTAATTGAAATGTGCATTGCTAACAGCGGAGCTATCTCAGCCGATAGGCTGCTTGTCTTTATTAGGTGTGCCTCTTTTATTAGAAGTGTATACCTAAGCCAAAAATGCATTTACATTGTATTATATGCTGGATTATGACTTATTTTGACTTTGCACACATCTGTCTTTTATGTAAGCTTATGCTGTACTAATAGAACAAATATGGTGCTTGTATGTTCTGTTGGTAACTAGTGTTTAGTAGTTTTGTGACAAAACATAATAAAATTGTTTAACATGAATATATGCAAATACATGCAAAATTTTAACTTAAATATGCATTTACAAATATAGGTCTTTCCGGAGTCGTATCTAAAAATATTTAAACAAATGCATCCAGAAAAAGAAAATTGAAAACAAGAAATAGTTCATTATACATATACCTGAGATAATTATAATTCATTAGCATAAATAGTTTTTTTTTTATTTTAGAAGCTGTATGTTAAGAAATAAACACTAAAATGTTGGAGTTGCCGACTTCTGTGTCGTTGATTGATAATGTTTACCGAATTTCTCTCTTTCTTCATTTCCAGAATGGCGAGTGAATTAGAAGTTATGTCACTGAAAGCAAGTAAGGATCCTGAGGAATACCTTCATCACCCCGTCAATGCGTTCTTACTTGTTAAGCGACTTTTAAGCGATTGGAATACAATAGAAGAGACCGTAAAGTATAGTCATGCAGACGGTGAGTACGCGATTAAACCGATTTACAGGTCAGTGAAAATTATCAATTTCACTGGCGTCGTAAATTCACTACAGTCACAGTGACTTTTTCACAAAAACTTTATTAAATAAATCGTCCATTTTAGCAGCGAAAATAAAATTTGAACAGTTTCTCAACAGTCTCTCTCGCGATGAATATGGTAAAACTTGTTGGAATAGATAAGTGCCACATTATCAAATGTTATGACTTCTTTATCATGAGAATAAATTTCATCTTGAATTAAAGAAAGTGTAACTTGGGTAAATTACCATAGTAGCGTATTAAAACTTATTAAAAATGACATAGCCATTACAATCAATATTGTTACCATAATCAATCTAGTAATTGGACCATTAACAAAATAATTATATTTGGAAGGATTGTTAAAAGAAAAGTTGAAATTATTTTCTATGAGCACTATTCAGTCACTGGTAACATTATTGTTGCATTAAAGATTGCTACCCCCTTACAGTAAATATCTATCTGTAGGGTAATTGCACTTATTTCATTATCACTTGTATGTCAGCTGACTGTGATTTAAAGACGTTTTATAGCAGCATGAACATGTAATCAATGCATCTGTCTGATATTATTCTGTTTAAGCACTATGAAATTGTATTGACTTGAAATTCTCAGTTAGCTGTATGACTGTGCCAGTCAGATATCTTGTCATATCCACACAGAGTAGCCAACTAATTAAGTTGACTAAAAATGAAGTGCATTCATATAGACTGCACTTGGAAATCTCTGGCCATGACTAACCGGTATACTGTTTTTGCAATGTTTGGAATTAATGGCTAAAATCAGTGGAGGTGGTTTATACACGTAGGCCAGGCCCTCTGTGACAGCATTATTTGTTTACATTTCGCAAAACCAGCATGAAAATGTCTAATAAATATCTTCCCCCTGATCAGTTCTATCTCTCAATCTGCTGTGACATTGTTTTGCATAAGGTATATTTAAAAGCCATCAATGCTATTATATTGTCTCTGAGTGTGTATGACTAGTTTGTGCTTAACTTTCCATGCGCATGTGAAACATTATGAAGATCGCCGGTCGAAACACTGACATATTCTTTCTATATCAACTTATGAAAATAGTGTTACTATAGAAACAAATTGAGTTTACATTTTTCGTAAATGGGAGGTGACTGCCCAACATAAAATCATGCAAATATAAATAATTACAGTGTAAAGTACAATAACCATTGGAGGTCATACCGGTCTCTGGTAGCCTAGTGTTTGTCGCATCAGACTCATGACTGGTAGACCCAAGTTCAAATCCTACCTTAGGCTGAACATCAAAAGGGTCGACCCCTACCCTGGGTGAGTGTTCCACAGACTCAATGAGAAGGCCAATTCCACTGGCCGAGATTCATTCACTAACTAATGCGATTTTGGGGGAACCTTGGTTAAGGTCCGCAGGTGTTTGTGTTCGACCAAGCCTGGTTGACTCCAGGATAGTGCATTTAAATTCTCAGTTGATAGAGAGATGGTCACACGACCCTGTCATGTAGTCCCAAACATGAATATGACTTTTTTGTGTCAGCACTAGCACTTGCAATTTACACAATTTACACCAAAATAAAGTCAGGAGAGACAACAGTGACATTCAATGTCCGGAATTTTTGCCTGGCACAAAGAACTATTAAAAAAAACTTTTGGAGATCAGTGGTGACACAGTGTTTGGGTTACTGTTAAAACAATGCCTGGAAAACATTCATAAATTATTAATTGTTATACATTGTATGTATATTGTAAACAATTTATTTTTTATTCTAGAGATTTTCAGGATTTGAGGAGTTTATGGCATTCATGAGGACAAAATTTTGCTCTAGTCACTGACACTTAATGTTGTAGAATTTTCTCTGCTACAAAACTTCATGATTTTTACAGACTGTGAAATTTACAAATGTCTGTCTCTTTCAAAGCATGCATGTTCATTTATGAAGTAAAAATACATTGTGAGATTGCTATTCAATGTTATTAATAAACATTACATATTTTTATTTTTTTTAGAATATGTACGTAATATATCCGACCATCAAGAATGGTTTCCAGGCACTGAAGATCTAACAGGTGCAGTGAATGCACTCTTCCGACTTCAGGACACGTATAAACTGGATTCGTCTGATATTGCAGAGGGACGAATCATCGGGGCGACCGATAGTCCCACACTCAACGGTGAGTAGCACTGTAGCTTTTATTCTATCAAGAAACATCTTCCAAACGTTTTGTCAATTTTGACCAAAATGTGATGTTTTCTTTTACAAGTTCAATGTTATTGTGGGTTTCAATCAGCAATATTTTTGATGTCAGATCCTAAAAGTCCTAAAAAGGTTTGTCTTTTCTAAAACCTTGAAAAAGTCTGAAATAAGTGAGGTTTTTAAAATCTGAAATTTCAGCACAAAATTTTATCCTCCGACCAGTGTTTATGTTAGCATTTTGAATCGAGGCATACATACAATGCAGAAACCTGTCAACAAAACAAGCTGTTCACTGATTGGTCAGTAAGGGTAGCCAATCAGGCACAATCTTGTAAGTAACTCCCAGTGCGAAAAAAAAAGATAATTTAACAATATATGTTGTGCGTCTTTGTTATAAATGAGACTATCTCCTTCTTGTACAAAAATAAGGGACCTTCTCTGGTATAAAGTGGCCAGGAAGCAGAATGGTGGGTAAACTCAATCCCTGCCTCTGACTCAACACAAAGAGCTCAAACATATGCCTATAGTGGCTACTTTCAGACATTTCTAGGACATACATGTAATCGTATGAGCAACCACAAAAATAATAATTAGCATTTCTTTAATAAAACAATTTTTAGTTTTCTTATGTCAAAGTTATTTGATTCTGATTCTAGATTGCAACACTAACATGGCATTATATTATGGACTAAAATTACCAGTATGTCAAATGTACGAGTTAGCAATCCATAAAAAACTTCCATATAAACAAAAAATACATTAAAATGATACTGTTTAAACTTAAAAAAACATGGAATATTTGAAGTAGATATCATGCTATGACATTTCCACACATTTCGTTTCGAGAGTACTGGAGGCTCTCATCTCTTGGACAAACGTACCTACAATGTAAATGACCCTCACAGACAAACAAAGCCTTCTAACTCAGTGAGTGTCTATTGTTTATTTATTTTAGGAGGCCTGCCTTAATTCAAATTTTGCTCCCAATTTCTAATTACTCTTTGATAGTATCAATATTTGGTAGTGTACATACTGGTCATGGGTTTTACCTCACAAATCAACTTTATTAACAATTAGTTTTGAATTTCTCTTTCAGCCCAAGAATGTTTTGAGTTGGGTCGTGTTGCATACGTGGCCGGCGATAACTACCATACTGTAATATGGATGAAGGAAGCGTTACGACAGTTAACAACAAACAATTCTTCTGATGAAGCCACTATACTAGATTACCTATCGTATTCTACCTACATGGTAGGCAATAGTTTTATGGACTTGGACTTGAACTTTTGAGTAGCATCGTGATACTGTGTGTATCACTGCCAATGCTGTATTCATCTATAGCATGTCCCAGGGATTGTTACATTCTTTGAAATTTGATACAAGGTTTACAGCCATACATGATGCCATTTCCAAACCCCATTTCAATCTGCTTTCTAGCCAGTGTTTTGTTTTTGGTGCTTGGCAAGATGAAAACCCAAATATATAACCCATTTTAGATTGAACTAAGTCTTCAACATACAAAACATTGTTGATTTGGATGTAAATACTTGAAAAACAACAACATTCACCCAAAATACACACCCATTGAAAATACAGTGTACTCACATTACTGAACTTAAATATTTAAAATTTAGTTTCATCAAGTACCTATAATGAACAATACACTGTTTGTACTTACTGGGGTATAA